GAAGTGACCAAATGCTTCTACAGTCAGTCAGCCTTTATGTACGACATTGGTGATCGTGAAGAAGGAGGACAGTACTTAGTGAATGGCGTCGAAGTCAACCCAATTAGCCGAGGTGTGAAGAATCGTCACGAGCTTGATGTGCTGATTGAACGTGCGGCTGAGGAATCCCCGCCTGTTTTGCCGACCATTGAAGAGCTGAACGCTTGGAACCCCAAAGATCATGATGCATATGTGAAATGGCTTACTGAAGAGAGAAAACAATATGGAGACAACTGGAATTTCAGACACATCCAACCATTCACCCATGGCCACAACATTGGTACACTTCAACTTGCTCGCATCAATGGAGAAGAATATCTTGGTCTTGGATGGAGTAAGGTGCATCGATATGGCGAGAATGAGTGGATGGGCAACAAGTGGGACAATCCGCAATGGATAGTCGAATTGTCGAAAAGATTCAATGCAGCGCTACGCCACTCCGTGGGTTGCGTCAAAGACAATCGAAATCACCGTGGACTACCATGCGACGAAGCAGGTTGGGTCAATGTCGAGTCGATCTTGAAGTACGACAACATCTGGAGAGACCAACATACATTGGCTGGAACGACCCGCGTCAACTACCCAATACTTGTTGAGAGGTGGAACAATTTCCAGAGAGTGATCTTCACTGAGTACAAGCAGACGAAAAGGATCCGAGCTCAAGTGCTAGGACTCAAAGTCACGAAAGGTGAGTTGGAACACATCATGAACAACTTCAATGACGAATTGACCTCGAGACTTGAACGACACACACTGAGGTTGGAAATCGGAACAGCAGATCGAGAGATTTGGCTATGGCCGGTGGCAATCCGTGCCCCTATGGCGCATTCAAGAGTTCAAGGCGGTGTGCACATTGAAGACAAGAAGACTTCCTATCAGATGAACCCTGGAGTCGGATACACTCTTGGAGGAGGATTTCATTGCACCACTTTTGACAACATCGCTCAAATCTTCAGAGAAGGACTACGTCCCGGAGGAGGAGGCGACCGCATCAATACGTTCTTCGTGCCATTCGCACCGTGGGACGTACGAAGTCAGTCGGTGCTGAGATTCAGGAAGATCGAACAAACTGATCTTGTCTACATCTACATCACGTACGATTCCATCGCCAAGTTCTCCCCTCGATTGTCAGCAGACGGACACATTTTGGTCCAAGAAACAATTCCATTCGAATCATTCGATGCAGTTTGGTACTACGATTGTAAGGAAAAGGACTACTACCGTCTTATGATCACAAAGGGGAAAGATCAACTCGTGCTTTCTGTACAAGGAGCAAGGAGGGTGGCCACCATTGAACGATTTGACAAACTCATTGGGAACATTGTGCCTGATGAATCATCACCCGATCTGAACGAACTTCGAAAGCTTGTCGATATCAAGACCGGTCACTTCAGTCATACTCACAGATTGTTCCCTGGACATCCGGATTGGAATGATGCAATATCATTGTTAGCAGTCACTCATCATCCCAGCAAGGAGGACCATCGACTATGCCCCGCATGTCTGATGGAGACCCCTGCACCATTATCGATTTGTGTGATGTGCAAAGGATTTTTGGTGAGTCATGGATGGAGGAAACGAATCAAGATCACCGTGGCTACAGTACCAAGTGCCGAATCACATCATCGAGAAGAAGATCTCAAAGACCATGTCAAGAAAGCATGGGAGGAGGTGAAGATCGATTTGACAGGTGATGGTGATGACGACGAGATGATGCCAGATGATGATGACGTCAACATGAAGAGTCCAGAACAAGAACCTCAACCAGAAGAGGGAGATGATGACCAAGCCTCGAAGAAGGGCGACATCAATGATGAGAAAAGAGACTTCAGAGAACAAGATGAGGTCGACAAGTTTCTCAACCAAGAAGGAAAACCGACCGACGAAAATGACGATGAAGAGATAGCGGTCGATGAAATCAACATTGAAGAATATGAGGCTGGAGAAGCTCGTGATGCAGTGATTGAGTACCCCAAGTGGATGAAGCGGATTGAGTTTGGATCAAAGGTCCTACCAATCGAGCCTTGCACAATTGGAGATGCTCAGCCGGAGCTCATCAAGATCCTCCTGTTGCAGATTGGATTACATATCGTCAGGATCTACAGACTATTCCAACGGAACTTCTGTGGAGACATCGAGACGGCATGGAAACACTTTCAACAGAACCAGAAATTCAGGATGGACCTGGACTCAAGAGTGCCTTACCTAGGCGAGGATGAGAATGGTGAACTCATTGAACCAACTGCACAACAGATGAAAGAGCTCTACAAAGAGATCGGCCGACCAAATCAAAAGGACGACATCGGAGAAGAGGGATTCGTCAATGCATACTATGGGGCAGTGGTACTCAAAAGACTTCTCATATATACCCTTGAATGTGGCTACACGTATGATGACTTACAAAATATCTTCTTTGAAGAGGAGATGGAGAAGCTGTCGAAACGTGACACAACGATGGATGAGATGAGAAAGACCACAGCGGCCCGCGACGCCCTTGACCGACAAGACGTCATGGTCAGAAGAATCATTGCAGGTGCATACAGGGTGAATGCTGTTTATTTCTTCAGGAACGTCGACTTTCAAGACACAATCACACTGAACCCAGTTGACATTGTGTGTGCTCTTCGTCCCGCACTTCGAAGAATATCACTTTTACACCTGATCCTTCAAAATGGCCGACAATTGCCACGACCTCTACTCCAGAAGCTGTATGATGCAATCGATGACTACAACCACATCAAGCAGCGGGACGATCAACGGCCAAGATGGGGCATCCACATGTCTGACGCTCACATACTTGCGATTGCTGATACCCCAACTCCTGCTGATCGTGAACGTGCTAACCCAGCCGCTGGCAAATCGAAAGCAGCCCCGAAAGCAGCAACAGCACTGGGCAGGGTGTCAAAAGCGAAAGCATCATCGTCAGCAACTTGGAGAACAGTTGAAACCGCTCCTCCGCCAAAACAAGCTCCAGTAACCCCGCCACAGAAAGGTGGAAAAGACAAAGGGAAAGGTGGAAGATCTTATTCGCATCGTGGTGGCGACTGGAACCAACAGGGATACTATGGATGGGGATATAGATGATGAATCGATATGACCTCTGCATAGGTCCTGATTGAACCTGGCGATGCGAGGATGCAATCATTGCTCGAGATTTACCTCTACTTCATTTCGAATGATTTCTGAGAGGACTCTGAGCCGGCTAATTTAGAACCACACATTTTTTTGAACATCATTGCACGAGACGCTGAGTTTCTACAGCGGTCTACATCTCAACAGACGAAGGAACGGGAAGGTAAACTTCTAGTTCCATAGTCAACTTTATGTTTTTGATTTCTTTAATTCACATGCTTGAGTGGGATTCCATGCTGGCTACGCCACATCGGATGAACCTCAATGCTAGACACCGACTACGTCGTGTCTACGTGCACGTGAACAGAACCTTTTATCTTTTGGTAGAGATCGTAGCAAGCCGCCATGTAGATGTAAAGTTCTGAACGGACTTTAGCTCTCCATAATTCAATAAATGAACAGCTGCAAATGTAGTGGATCAATTCAAGGGACACTCCTTTGCGCGTAGCCAACAAAGTTGGCTATGCGTGGGGGGTGCGAATAGAGTGTAGGCTACGTACGATTGTATATTCACATATAATTCGACACTCTAGGATCCAATGCCAAAGGGGTATTTCAAACTGGCCTCTTTGTCTCAAGACCCACTGCAGCACCAGAACAAAGAACTGCCATGCGGAAGCCGCCATCCGAGTGAAGCCATCACCGAAGCATTTACTTCAATACCAAGTACCGGAACATAATCGGACAGGCAATCCCCGATTCTCAATACATACATACATACATACATACATACATACATACATACATACATACATACATACATACATACATACATACATGCATACATACATACATACATATACACATGCACACGAACACAGGAGAGGTTTTTGGACAACTCTTCCGACTCTTCCTTCAAATGATTCGTCGGTAAATGTTGCGAAGTCTCGCGGAGTGGCAACAAGGGGTGCCATTTCTTCAGGCTGGGGTGAGGACTTCGAGCCAGAGCAACCCGGCCATGTTTTTTCAACTGTGAGGGGTGCTCGGCTGTGATCAAAATATTGGTTGTGACTTTGGAAGGGTACTGTAAAATGTGATTGAGTAGGTCAATACAATACATGTCAATACCATTTAAGTCTTTGCCGTACGCGGGAGAAGTATTCTATAGCCAGCCATGTTTTTAAGTAAAGGTGACCTGAAATTAGCCATGTCAGGGGAATCAGGACGAGTGTGCCGTCGCCAGGGAAGATGAGGAGTCCAGCTGGAAACGTCCAAAGTCAAGAGCTCAATTGACAGGGTTTGTCCCATGAATCTCGGTATTCCACATAAATATTTCTGATTCCGCAAAGGCAACTGCTTGTTGCCAAGCAAACGTACAGTTTGATTTGCTTTGGTCCGAAGAAGCAGCTGACGTGTAAGCGCTTGAGTGCTTTTACTGAGAATGATGGCTGTGACCCTTTTCTGCTTCTGTAGCATTCTCCTACAGGACTAATCTTGGCGTGCCGAAGGCCGTTGCCGAAGCAGCTTCCTGGAAGATACTGGAAGTACTTCTAAGACTTGTAAGAGTAGCATGAGTAGATATGAGTAGCAACATGCCCACCCGCAAGGTTCAAATTAGATGAGACCCAAGGTTCAAATTAGATTCATAACCTCATAGCCCATAGCAGATAGCAGACTGCAGTGCCCCCGGGCACAGGTGCTTGCAAATTGATGAAGATCAAGTGCCTTCCTATGCCCTTATCAGCCCTAACTCTTCTGATCCTTTCTGTGAACGTTCTGTGAATGTTGATTTCTGAGTCATGTTGAGTCTCAGTGAGATTTTTTCCTTGAAGGCCTTCCAGAGGCTGAGGCTGCCCCGAGACGTGCCGGTGCGGTCCTCCTTGGCCCTGATGCCAGCACCAAAACCACCGCCGCCACCTCCACTGCACAGCTTGCACGACGAGGCAATGATGTCGATGCACGACGAGGCACTCTTGTCACTATCCAATGAGAGCTGGTCCCCTCCTCGCCAGCACCAGCCGCAGCACGTTCCGCCACCAAAACACCTAGCTCCCATGGCGATTGCGGTCAGCGGCTCAGAAATCTGCATCACATTGAACCTCTCCTGTCACATAGGGCATGGGGAAGCTGGGAGCTCCCGCACAAATATCTACAAATATTAATACTAATTACACATATCACATATCCAATAAATTGGAGCATTGTTTGGCTTGATGTGATGGCATGTGATTCCATCACGTCTCCGCCGGACTACCCTGTTGTAGGCCGCGCCGCCAGCACCGGAATTCGATGAGGTAGCGTTTGGGCGTGGTTGTGATTTCTCCATTGCATTCAATGCGTTTGATGTGCATTTGATTGATGCCTTTTCTATTGCAAGATACGCCTAGAGCGTGGATTATATATTGTAAAGCTTCGCACACCGTGATGCCCTAAGGGCTGCTTGCTCTGTTGTTGTTGTTGTTGTTGTTGCGCAGGCGGCCGAAGCAACCCGTCAAGCCACGCCGAAGTATGCGGAGCGACTTGGTGACCAAACCAGGTAAAGGAACTTTGGGTCTGGCATTTTTTTCAGGGGATGTGTGTTTAGTAATATATAAGAAATATGATAATTATGTAGGTCTATGGCATTCTAGTTTTCAATTCTATATTTTGTACTCTATTTAATTTTATTTTGTTCTATTTTCCATTCCATTCTCCAGTCTTTATTCTCTTCTGTTCTATTCTATTTCAATTCCGTTCCATTGGATTCTATTCAGTTAAACTCCTTTCAATTCGAATCTTTTCTGTTCTATATTTCTTCTACCCTTTCTCTCTTCTACCTACCTATCTGTTCTTCATTTGTCTATTTGTCTATATCTATCTATTTGTCGTTGTCTATATCTCTACATACGGTGGATGGAAGAAATCCCGCACCAGTCGATAGGTGGTTTGTCCCATTATTTATAGGGTTTCAACCATCCAAGGTGATGCAGGATTTCTTCCATCCACAGTATCTCTACCTATGTCTATGCCCATGTCTATATGGTATTTCTTTCTATGCATATATATCGGTCTATTTGTCTACTTCTCTATCTATCTATCTATCTTTCTTTCTGTCTATCTATGTGTCTATCTATTTGTTATCAATATTTATCAATCTACCTCATCTATCTACCTAATCTATCTATATACCTAATCTAATCCCATCTAATTCCATCTAGTCCCATCTAATTCCATCTAGTCCCATCTAATCCCATCTAGTCCCATCTATATAATCATATATAATCCCATCTAATCCCATCTAGTCCCATCTAATTCCATCTAGTCCCATCTATATAATCATATATAATCCCATCTAATCCCATCTAGTCCCATCTAATTCCATCTAGTCCCATCTAATTCCATCTAATCCCATCTAATCCCATCTAATCCCATCTAATCCCATCTAGTCCCATCTAATCCCATCCAATCCCATCCAATCCCATCCAATCGCATCTAATCCCATCTAATTCCATCTAGTCCCATCTAATCCCATCTAATCCCATCCAATCCCATCGAATCCCATCCAATCCCATCCAATCCCATCCAATCCCATCCAATCCCATCCAATCGCATCTAATCCCATCTAATTCCATCTAGTCCCATCTAATTCCATTTAATTCCATCTAATTCCATCTAACCCCATCTAATCCCATCCAATCCCATCTAATCCCATCTATCCATCTATCCATCCCCGTCTATCTAATGCCAGTGATCCAATCGCATTTGTCTAATCCCAGTTAACGAATCGTATCTATTTAATCCTATCTATTCAAATCTATTCAATCCTATATCTATCTGGCCCTATCTGCCAAATCCTGTCTGTATACCTGGATCTTCATTCGAGCACAAAGAAGTGCATAACCTGCTTTTCGTGTCACATTCTGAAGAATGGAACGCCTTTTAGGCACATAAGCACTTTGTGGGTTAACCAATAGTTTTTGGGCGCGCATTCTGGAAAAGTGTGTTGTTGATTTCTCGCTGTGTGTAATTTCTGTTCCCGCGCGTTTTTCCAAAAAGAACATGTTTTAAATCGAGCATTGATTTCATCTTATTTCCGTTCAAATAAAGTCCCAGGCACTTCCAGATGCATTTTTTCTCTAGTTGCAGTACCTGGTGCCGCGCCAAGGCCAAGGCCTCCTTTCCATCCGAAGAGCAGTGCGCAGTCCATGCCTTTCGCTTTCGGAGATGGGGCACCACCTTCAGGTTGGGCAGATGGAAATATTGGGTGGGTGTGGCAACAGCATGTTGTGCCCAAACAGTATTTAATTCCTGCAAGGACAGTCGATATTCAACCATAGTAACCCCCAAAAAGATAGGAACATGTTCCTGCGATGTTATAGATCATGTTTACTTCAAACTGCCAAATTTCCGGTTTGTCTAACCATTATTGAGGTTGCTGTATGGTTTAATCATGTTTAATCGGTGCATGTCAGATATCAGTTCCAAAAGTTACATAAAGTTACTAAAGTTTGAGACCGCTTTTTGATCTTTTTGAAGGAGTTGAGATATTACTCGTGCGTGAACGCTGTCGCAAACATCGGGTCCATCAGGTCTTGCGTTACCCTCTCCGAAATTGCCGCCTGTACCACCTGTACCACCGCCTCGGTCGGACAGGCACAGCATGACTCGGAAACCAATCCTGATTCAGAATATGATTTCACACTTTTTCAATCAAAATTATGAACATGATTTTCCAACCCTACTTGAATCTACTTAACCTGATGATCCCAATTGTTTTCATATTTTCTGAGTTGATGTCCGTAGAAACTTTTTTGGGGTCCAATCTCGATTGGATCCGCGCCTTCATGCAGGTTTGTTGACGAGCTCGAAGGCCAGTCTAGTCATTTCATGAGTCTCTTCGGACCACGTTGGTTGCCCATGTTTCGAGCCTTTCAATGGCGCAGACTCAGACAGCAAAAAAAAGTTACGGACCAAATTTCTTCAATGTCCTTTCTTCATTCTTTCATTCGTTCATTCTTTCATTCGTTCATTCTTTCATTCTTTGATTCTGTCCTTTCTTCATTCTTTCATTCTTTCATTCTTTCATGTTTTCATTTGTTCGTTCATTTTTTCATTCATTATTTCATTCTTTGATTCTTTCATTTTTTCATTCATTATTTCATTCTTTGATTCTTTCATTTTTTCATTCGTTCATTCGTTCATTCTTTCATTCGTTCATTCTTTCATTCTTTGATTCTTTCCTTTCTTCATTCTTTCATTCTTTCATTCTTTCATGTTTTCATTTGTTCATTCATTTTTTCATTCATTCTTTCATTCTTTGATTCTGTCCTTTCTTCATTCTTTCATTCTTTCATTCTTTCATGTTTTAATTTGTTCATTCATTTTTTCATTCATTATTTCATTCTTTGATTCTTTGATTCTTTCATTATTTCATTCTTTGATTCTTTCATTTTTTCATTCGTTCATTCGTTCATTCTTTCATTCTTTCATTCTTTCATTTTTTCATTTTTTCATTCATGTTTTCATTCATTATTTCATTCTTTGATTCTTTCATTTTTTCATTCGTTCATTCTTTCATTCGTTCATTCTTTCATTCTTTCATTCGTTCATTCTTTCATTCATTCTTTCATTCTTTGATTCTTTCATTTTTTCATTCGTTCATTCGTTCATTCTTTGATTCTTTGATTCTTTCATCCTTTCATTCAGGCAATCATTCAAACATTCATTTTTCCATTCCTTCATTCAGTCCTTCAGTCATTCATTCAGTCATTCCTTTATTCAGTCATTCATTTAGTAATTCATTCATTCACTCATTCATTCGTTCAATCAATCATTCATTCATGTTTCTTTCATTCATGCTTTATCCCTTCCTTCAGCTCTTGATCTTTCGTTCATCGATCAAAACAATCCAATCTCACATGTTTTTTCTGGAAGGACAGTGGCAACTACAGGCGCCGGCGCCGGTGGTTCTGGAGTGTTTTCGCATGCTTTCAGAAGTATGATCGTACACAGGGGGCTGCTGCAGGTTGCAACCAGGCTGCACAACCTCTAGAGGGTGTTCTTGATTCTCTTTGAAACTTCTCATTTATCCTATTTTCTCCTAGTTTCACCCCAGCGGAAAACAAAATGAGTATATAATGATAACTATAATGCCAACACCTTGAGATACTTATACTTTTTGGGCAGGAGTTAGGAGTATCATGTGACAATGCCATGAAGCATCTCCTGTTCACATCTGAGATATTGATTCCGTCAGACACTCCAGCTGAGGGGCAAATCGTAGGTAAATCGTTTCCCTGCAGCATTTTGGCTAAGCTTGTCCAATTTTGACTTTTGCGGAGTGACATCAGGGCAAACCATGGATTTTGACGAATTGGAGGAGGCTTAGCTTGGCTGTGGCATGAGTTTTCGTTTCTGATGGGTTTTGGCGGATGGGCTTTTTCGTCTGTCATACGCAGATGACATACAATGAATCACCTCTCATAATGTGATGCGAGCGGTGAAACGATGAAGGTTGACTGATACAATTAAGGTGTTGTTGGAGCATCGAATGTAGTACTCCAACTTGAAGAAACCCACATCAAACACTATCGTTGATTGGCATGTGAAGGATGTGAACGGGTGGTCAGGTGGAAGAAGTGGCGACTGCCAAACAGACAGAGGCAGACCAGAAGGCTTGGCCCAACTTCTGACTAGTGTTTTGGAATGATTAATCCCAGGCAGCGATTCTCGTTGGGATTGAATATGATTGAACAGTTGGATGCCAACTTTGAGGCATAACCGACATAGCTTTTCCTTAAAAGATGGGGAATGCGAACCAGCAACCAGCATCAATCAGCTGGTACTGAGATGTACTGTGGGGCTGGGGGAATGGTAGGCTGCTGCCGACCGAGCCGCTGCTGCAGAGAAGCTTTCGGCCGAAAGGACGCTAGCTCTTGGCATCCGTGAATTCAAAACGAGCTTCGGGACTACATTTATCATCATTTATCATTATTTATGGGGTTTCATGTTTTGAGTATTTTTGAGTCTTGATACCAAAATGATGATATCTTTATTGTTTCCTCCAGTAACCTCTTCCCACATCTTACCCCGTGACAGGAGAGCCATGGTGAAGGGCACGGCCGAGACTCCCGAGGCACCCAAGGTAGAAGCCAAGGCGGAAGCCAACGGGACCAACGGGACCAACGGGACCAACGGAGCCAACGGAGCCAACGGAGCCAACGGACACAGCCAGCCCAGCCTGATCTGGGAGGTGGTTGGTGGCGCTATGGTTGCATTGTGGTGGGCATTTACCGGGTGCTGGGGGTGGCATGCCCCTGGGTCATGCCAGAACTCAGAAGTCATTTGTCATAATCAGTTGTGATAATGATGACAGGAAGAAGAATCATGGTCATCCTCGTCCGTTGTCCTTATCCTTTGTTGTCCTTGGTTATCCCTGGTCATTCCGCATCACCCACAATGGGTGTCATGTCTATTGTGCTTGGCAAGGGATTCACGGAGATTAGAAAGGCAGACTAGTAAGCTGACCGCCTTGCATAGGCATAGCTTGCAAAACGTGATGCGTCATGGATGAGAGTGGTCACGACTTGCCAACAGTATTTTGTTTTCTCAGTAGAAGGGGTGGGATTTGAATGGATTTGGGAATTCAAGGTGCCGACAAAGGCGGCATTTTGGTGCGCGACGGCGAGAGCACATCTTCCACACAGCTGACTGCACGCTTAAGTGCCTTGAAGCAGCCAAAGACTTGAAGTCTCGGGCCAAACATCGGAGGGAATGGCTGTCTACGTTGTCTAAATGTTGTCAAATGTTGTTACCCTCTGGTGAACTAACATAGCAATGGAAAATGGCCATTTATAGTGGATTTTCCCATTAAAAATGGTGATTTTCCAATGCTATGTTAGTTCACCAGAGGGTAAATGTTGTCAACGTTAACGTTAAAGATCCTGTTGGTGCCTTCGGCTAAAGCCTAAGGCACCGGTGCCACCGTGGAACAGCTCGAGTTGAAGGGCCAGCGACTTCATTATCGTCTCAAGACAGGCTGGACCTCATGGACCTGAACACAGATGAAATCTCACTATCTAAATCTAAAGTATAAAATAGTATAAAGAAGGTCAGAATATGCGTATATAATACACACATACATATACATATATAATTATACGTATGTTTTATATATATATATATATATTCACCTGATTTTGATGGTATACCTACCAATAATAGAACACATGACTCACGACTTTATGTGTGTCAAGAACATGTCAGGATTCAAGATATAAATATGTTCAGGTAAAGTGTCAGTTGGTGGGGATTACTCGAAGTAAGAGAGATCTGCATTTGTTGCAGCCTTGGCTTGGGCAGGAACTGGACCAGAAGAAGGCTGGATTAGCATCGCTCTTTCAGGCGGGCTGAGGTGTGATCTCATTGGCGGTTGCAGATGGTAGATCAGAATGAGGCTAGTCATGCTAGTCCTCTATTTCAATTCTGGGATACGCACGCTGGTACTAGGTGCAAAATGACGCAAATCACTGGGCGTACTATGGCCTGTTTGGCTTTCTTTGGTGTCCTCCCCAAGGCCATCAAACCCCAAGACCCAACAATCAAACTCAAAAAGCCCAGACAGGGTCAGATGGTGCTTCAACATATGATATGCCTCCTTCATAGTTACCATATACCCCCATCCATAGTCAGCGGCCATTTCTAAACTGGAGGTGCTCTACCATTATGAAGCCATAATTAGAAATGGGGGGGGGCATATATTATATCCCGTTAGGTAGCCCTTACATAGACCTCAACAAAACTGGTAACCTGGTAGGTACCTGGGTACCTCCCAGAAATCCTTTCCCGAAATGGCATGAAATGGCGACAAAATGGCCGTTGGGGTCACCCAGGGAAAGACCTGGCGGTGCTTCTGACGCACGTTCCGGTGGCGAAGCGCGACACCGAGCCGCGCTGCCTGGCGGAACTTGCCAAGGTGCCAGGGCATCGCGGGGTGAAGTGACTGGATTGGACGGGTGGTTTTTCTCTGTGGATTTAATGGGATATAAGTAAATTATTAACAGATAAATATATATTGAAAAAACAACACTCAAAGGGATTGAGGCATTTGGCCAATTCAAGGGAGAAAAACATGCTTTCAATCGATTTTCATTATGTATCATAATGCTTTTTTTTATGTCAACCAAATGTATGATCAGATTCAGATGCTCACACCCAGATAGACAATACAATTTATTAATCTATAATTTGCTTACGGATCTATAAATATAGAGAGAGAATGAGAGAGACATAGAACGCTCCTGTGCGAGTTATGGTCCAATGTGCCAGGCCCCCGTGCCATGGACGCCGGTCTCAATGCCTCAGCTGCAAGAGAAGCACATGCAGATGGAACATTGGTGGAAATATGTTGTGGTCAACCCATGCCAACCTGGAATGGAAACATATGGAAACCATGAGACAGCTTGGGTGCTATTTTATTTACATATAAGACTGGTACAATCGTATATAAAACATATAGATAATTGTCCTGGATCATATACCTTACTTAAACATCTGAAACGAACATATTTTTGAAAGTGCCCCATTCTATCGACTGAAGGATGACTGTAGCTCTATTTATTCTTCTCATTATCCTTTCTATTGTGGTTGCTAGTATTCCCATCGTTGGGTAGTGTTAATTAATGTTGACTCCATATTGGGCATACGTAGTTTAATCCATGTTCCCTGAAGCCAAGGGGCTATTGGTGTAACATGATGGAGGTTTGGCAAGAGGCCCACAAAGTTAACCACAGCTTTCAGCGGCAGCTCGACTCACCCGCCTAGGCACCTGGCATCATTTACAAGATAGATTTTCCCTTCAATGCCGAGACTTGGCCACACAAGACCATGTTCTTGGCATATCTTGGCATTTTGGCCCCTCTAACAATGGATGGCCATGGACGGCCATGGATGGCTATGGGTGGCTATGGATGGCTATGGATGGCCATGGACGGCCATGGATGGCTATGGGTGGCTATGGGTCGCTAGAGTTTGCTGAGGAATTGCTGCAGAAGATGGGGCCAGCGTGGCTCACCAAAGCCTTCCATACTGCAGGTGCTTTTGCGAGCCAGTGCTGATATGGATGCTTTGTCGGGAGCGCCACAAAATATCAGTTCCAACTCAAGATGTTGTAACTAGCTTTAATTGAAACATACCGGAAAATGGTGATCAATCATTGGGGTTTGGCACTCTGTTTTCAGCTTTTGCCTCTGCCTTTCTGGGGCGGGTGAATTCAGCCAGGCTCCATACCCAAGGACAACAAGGTGAAAACATTGAAGAATGTCAAGGCGCAACAGCCAGATCCCGTCATTAGGGCTTTGGAGGATGCAATTTCATTTAGATGCTGGAGAGTTTTCTCCTCAATATTCTTATACATATTATAATATATTATATATTATATGTGTGTGTGTTTCTCCATTTCGACTTATTTTGCATGCTTCACTCGAATCCATGATTTTTTGTTTGTTCATTTAGTTCATTTAGTTTATTTTAATCCTATCTATAAATCCCGTTCAGCCCAGTGTTTGTGGGAGCCCCATCTGCCAAGCACAGAAATGAAGCAGACCTTGATGCTCTTTTGGCAGGAGTACATTGGAGGAGGGAACTGCTCAAAGCTTGTATTCGACGCAGCTTGTCAAAGTTTGAACCATTTTGAGACATGTTTTGAGCAGAGGACGCTGGCTGGTAGTTTCACATCAGCATATTTCGCACGTACAACTCGCCCATACCTGTTTCGGAAGATGTTCCAGCTCCCAGCTCAGCTGAGGAGGATTACAGACATTACAGTCTGTCGAAAACAGCCCAGCACAGATGGATTCTGAGATATTCTGAGGTCGAGTATGAGAAGCCAGCAGCAGATTTGCATACTGAGCTCTTTGCCAAGATCCCTTTTCCACTGGGCGGCAGCACGCTGTCAGATCGAATGGCTTCATCAGTAATGCAGACACTTAGTCCAAGAATGGCTGTGTTGGATCAGCACCAATCCTCCTGAAGATTATTCAACATCATTGATGGTTTGTTCGATGATTATCATTACTTATCATTACTTTATACCCCAAAGAGGGAAAACAGTTGAGACAAATTGGGGATAATTGGGAGGCACTAGCATTTTCCTGGTGATTTACCCCTCTATTTTCTGAGGCCACGTTCTGCCAGGGTGTCGATTTTTTTTTCAGGCCCTGCTATCTTCTCAGGACTGGAAGCGAGCTGGGAGAACTGAACGCCCAAAGACTACTAGAGCTCCTTGATCAGAGGAAGTCACAGTTGGTCATGGCTGATCTGAATGAAAATAGATTGTTCTTTATGTTTTTTTCCGCCTTTTTCGGCTTAGTAATTACCCTGAAATCTCATGAAATCTCATGATTGCAAGAACGTAACACCATTACCAATTCGGTTTCCCATGAACCGTGAACATGGCAATTCTGGGGCCTCCCCATGTTTGAAAAAGAAAAGGAAGTAATGTTGCTGTGATGGTTGCTAACGGGGAAATGGATTGCGACTACCAGCAGCGTGCAGCAGCATACATGGTGATTCAACCAGCAAGGATGGAGTTGGTCGTTGACCCATCAGTTCGGTATGGACTTTATCGGTTCCAAACCTAAGGATGATGAGAAGAGGAGATGTAATTGCAATGATTGCTAAGAGGGCAACCATGTCCGCGGTTTAGGCAAGATTGTCAGAAACTCGTATGAAAAAAAACTAATGGACGTTGGAATTTGGAACCATAAATATCATTAATGAATGATGGGGTGGTGTGGGTTATTGTCCATCCGATCGAAACGAGTTGAATTACCTTCAATTTGGATGGTCTAGTTTATTACTAAACGAGTTGAATTACCTTCAATTTGGATGGTTCAGTTTATTACTACCGTATCTCAAGCTTCCCTGGGTGCCTTGTTCTCAAGCCAGACCACAAGCTTCAACTGACAGCTTTTGCAAGCTCCCGGTGCATTTGAGGTCGCGGCTGCCATTCAGTGTTCCAAGATACTACTTCGGTGATGTGTCCAATGTCATTTGGTTTGCATTGAGATCATGGCAGCTGAACTGGGTTTCATCTCAAAGCATCTATATATATATATATATATATTAAACACACATGGATAGATCTGCAATGAACGGGATAGAATAGTGCTCGCAGAAGTACATGTTTTGGAATGTTTGGAACTTGCTATGTGACTATGTCTTTGAATTGGATACTCTCCAGCCCTGGGATTCACGAAAAATATTAACTTAGGCAGTCTTCTGAGTTCAGAACCCTTCGTAAATCTGGTTGTCAAGTCTCTCGCAGCAGATCCCCCAGGACACCTCAAACTGGATCTTGATCACTGAGAGGATACCTTTCGGTAAGCAAGATGGTGACAGAGCCATGGATCCTGCCTATGACAAGATGAAGGACTCTTGACTGCCATCCGTCTCCACCGTCACCATCATCACCATCATCACCATCCTCACCATCCTCACCATCCTCCTCATCCTCATCATCATCATCATGATCATGGCAAGCTGAGGATTGGGAGCTGAAAGGGTCTCAAAATGAGTACTACTTTTTGCTGACCACCTATGGTGCCAGGATGGCAGGCATGGACAAGGCCTGCTAGAACTTGTCCTCGAACAGAGTAGAACACTGTCCTCGCCAGTTCTGGCAGATATTCTGAAGGGCCAACGAACATACTACTTTCTTTCTGGATAAATTAGAAGGACCGAACCCTGCGGCTTGGGGAGAGAGAGAGAGAGAGAACCCCGCGGCGTAACTGGAACGCTGGTTGGTAGGGTTACTATCTATTGCAATTTATCCGTTTTTTCTGGAAGAACCCAAAGACTGACATCTGGCCATTGTCTCACATAGTTGTCAGTTGTATTCAGTTGTGACATTCAGGATGATTCAAGGTTATTTGGAATTCAGTCGAAGGTTATTTGAAAAACATTTGGGTCGTTATGTTGTCATTGGCGCCACTACAGGCAGAGGCACTGGCCTCACGAGCCGTCATGGAGACTTGGCATATTTGGCATGGCACATTGCTTTGACATACTCTGACAATGGGGATGCTGCCTTTGATCAACTGCAGATGCTGCGTTTTGTGTTGTTTTGTGGGTCTTTTGCTGCTTTATCCAGACTAAATCGTTCTGGTCCTTTGAAACAGCGTGCGCACATGGAATCACATGGATGCCGTGGGCAGAGCCACGCGCCAAGGATAGTTTCTTTCCATCCGCTGCGCAGCGGCCGAAAGAGCATTGGGGAATGCGCGCTGCAACTTGCATGGCAAAGCACACTGAACAGATGTTGCTGTTGGAGTTTTTTTTGGGTAGTGTGGGTGTGGTCTGGGGGCTCAAAATTTAGACTATTATGTTAGAGGTGGAACCAGAATTGATTTTGGCAAGTTGTTGGGAGCTGTAGAGCAGCACACCCAGTCTTTTAGAATTGACCAGCATCAACGGCTCGAATCTTCAGGAAAGCAGCGGCATTGGTGAGAAGGAGTTCAATGCAAAGATCAAGATGGGGGTTGACTTTGTTGGTACGACAGGCATAGTAATTTCGGGCGATGCGGACGGGGATTTCCTTGTTGACTGAAATTTATTTGTACTATATATATATATTACATTGTTTTTTTAAATATTTGTTGCTTTCTCCCAGAGAGATGACAAGAGCACTCATCCATAGATTGCCATGTTCCAGGCAAAGCACTTTTCCCAGCAGAGTGTGCCACACCAGCATTCTTGCAGAAGTACAAGTTCCTGTGCAGCACATAATTCTGTTCAGAGATTTGATTGTGACCTGATGTGACCTGCTTTTCTATACAAGCTGTTTGATTGATCAGAGGGGGCTCAAACGCAGGTAATGTGGCTTTCCCAGTTTTGAAACGTGGCATGATATAGCGTATTTTGATGTATTTTGTGCAACGCTCATCCAATGACATGCCATTCTGTGGCCAACCTGAGGAGAATACTTGCTGTTTCGAATGCTTACACGGCTGAGATGCAGTGGTGGTGCAATAGAAATCCTGAGACTCGATCAATCGAAATCCTTGCGTTTCGGAGGGCAAGATGTCTACTGAATTCTACTGCGGTTTTGCCAAGGGGCTATCGTTTTTTTTGTTGACTCGTCGCTTAGTTATCCATCCACTGCGGTAATCATGTAGACAGCAATGTTCCACATGCATCCAAATGCGGCATTAGTGGCCTTAGATTGGACATTTTTATACATTTTTACATCAATTTACTCATGTGCTCGGAAAAGGCATTTGCCCGGGGGCTTAGTGTGGCGCAGTCATGGCAGTCGTCCAGGACTACATCGCATGGAGCCACGGCAATCTCAATGTCGACAACGTTTTCTTTTGGAGGGATGCCGACAAGAAGTTGGATCTTGGCGTTCTCGACTGGGGAGGCGGCAGTGTTCATCAACACAGCCATGTTGCAATCTATTTTCTTTGGATTTTAGATGGTTTTAGTATGATTTAGTCATAGTCATGTTCTCCTCCGCGTTTTGTGTGAATTAATTTCATGTGCATGAATGTTTTCCCAGTTCTGTGATCAGGCGCGCGAACGGACTCCGTCGGATGGAAACTTTGGTGGTGGCTATACTGCTGTGAATACGTATCCCGGCAGCAGCCGCCAGCCCAACTCAGGCCCTATTTGAACCACAATCTGTTGATGGTTTGCGTTATATCCCCAGATGATTTGTGCATTTTGCATCGTTTTGTAATATTTTGCATGCTTCAGCCCCATTCATACACAGATTGTTGAATGTATTACGCTGAATTGAATTCCACAGCGCTCACCTCAATCCTCAGGACTTCTTGAACAAAAACCTAGATGACTTGCTGGACTGCTTTATCAAAGAATATGAGGCCTACAGGATCCTGCAAGCAAATTCCAAGAGCACAGTCACAACATGGGACCACATTATACCACATTGAGATTGTGATTGCCAGGGGCAGCTCTTGATGACTGCTTGCAAGCCACCATGATGATGAACTTTTATGAACTTTGCGCTTTGAAGTTTCATGAACTCGGTATGGCTCAAAAACACTCAAAGCTATGCTGACCACCAATTGGCTGGATACCATGACCAAACTGTGTTGCAGGCTAGCGGCGGTCCGAAATTGGATCGTGCGGAACTTCGTTGGCAGTTCACATTGTCGGCGCTGCAACAGGGCGTAGGTCTATTGGGTGCAGTGCCACAGATCTACAAGATGTGCAAAAAAGCCGAAACCTGGCGCTGATGCAACCTGTGGCTCAACACCTAACTGGATTGATGTAGATCCCGTATGATTTGCTGTGTTGCGGTGGTTGCATGTCGTTCTACAACCTCCTATGGTGTGCCCAAAGAGAATGGGGGGGGCTGAAGCCCTTACAAAAATATGAAATCGAGCAAATCCGATCGATTTTTGAAATAAAATGGGGTCAGACCCCAACATTTTATTGTTTTGGGGGCATTTTATTTTCTGAAGGGGCCTAACCCATAAACTTAACTGACAGAGATAGCATGATAGCAAAGATGCACAGCTGTGAACAGTCTGATCATTTTGCGAAACTGTCCACAGATTTGGAATCAATAATTGGACATCATGGAACATATGAGACTGAAACAGCAGTTGTTGTCGATCCAATATGATCTATATAATTTGATTCTAGCAGGAGTATGATATTTGCTTATTAATTGGCACGTTACAAAAGATGACATTTGCTTTGCAGATGCTGGGATTCCAGATTTGCAGATGTCACTCACCTGTTTTTTCCCGCCACGTTTACAGTATATAGTCAATTTTTTGCTTTAGACATACTCCAACTGCTTCTGAGGGGAATATTCATTGTTCTGTTCATATGTACTGTATGTACTGTATCAGATTGGTTCGTGGTATGTTCGTGGTAAACATCTTATATTTTATACTATCACTAATTCCCTTTGTTTACTGTTTGCGCCTTCGCATCTATTTATAAAGTACTCTCCATGCATAAGATAGAGATGCGCACTTTGGTTGCCCATGTCATTCCCTCCCGTTGAAATACATAGGACTGCCACCTTCACCGGTGTTTTGCTCCAAGGAGTTTGCCACCATCAAAGATCGATTAGATCCTCGTATTTCGCAGAACATCGATGGTAAGAACACCCTCAGGATCTACATTGGAGACTTGACTTGCGAAGACTGATGGCGTCATTCAATGCAAAGACCCAAGATGATAGGCACTCTGAAGATATCACAGCTTTGGCCTCAGCCTTCTCACAATAACACTTCACACATCAAGCACTTGTGCCGTTGGAGATGCCGAGTGCCTTGTCACAGTTGACAGGTGCACATGTGGTATCCTTATTCTTTTTTGTCCCGAAAGTTTTAGAAAATGACATCTACCATGGCCCCACGACGCTCAGGAACCTTCATCAACATTTGCAGCTCGGCTGACTTCCCCGGGATGTTGCTGCGTGGCTATGCGATGCTATGCGTAGCTCACTCATCCCAGAATACTCTCGCCGGCCTCGGATTTTGCGGAATCCCTGGTTTGTTTGATATTGGGCGGGACTATTTTGAGTAGCAGCTTCATAGTTGAAACTAGACATGGTTACTCTGTTTATGGGAACAATTTCCTCACGAATAAACATGAATAAACTAGAATGCATCCATTCCGCGTTGACACATAGTCATTCTTTCAGTCCTGCGGGCTGTTGCGCCAGTCTGTACCAAAAAAGAACATGATGCTAATTAGAAGCAACAGTCACATCCCGAATATTGAGTAGTAATGAAGATGATCTACATCATTAATTGATATTAATTGTGGGTTCGGGAAAGCGTCGGGGAATCGCTAAAATGCTTTAAGGTAACATGATCAAAGACTGGGATATCGAAAGCCAGCTGGACAAGTGGGTGAAAGAAGTTTGCTCCGCCATCGGCATCCCAGAGAAAAAGGTGGTCGTGGAGTGAGTTTGGTTTCCTATGTCTACTCATGTTCTGGTGCCGCCTCCTTCAAAGTCCAGATCCACATCCAAAGATAGCCAAAGTGTAGAAAGTCTCTTGGGTCATTTTGACCCAGTCAATAGTTTCAATATGTTTCAATATGTTTCAATCTTCAAGACTTGTTGAAACCGGCAGCAGAACCCCCAGCTTTTGCCAGCGAAACCTGCCGAAGAACAGGCGCTCCATTCGTCTCACACAGCTTTGCTCGAGGCTCCGAGTCCCAAACTGCACTGGTTTGGCGGAGCAGGTGTGGCAAGAGCCATATCTTTGAGGCATCCGAAAACAGCGATCGCAGTCAGAAAGACACAGAAAATACGGATTTGATGCTTGGTTCAATATCTATATATATATATATGCGTATATATAATTGATTATAATTGTGAAATATTGTGAACATGCGTGTCACTTATATCATAGGCTAATTTGTCCTGCGTCCGATCGCTTTCGCGTATGTCTTTTCCAACATTTTCCGGCCCAGATGCGGGCGATGATCGGGCGTAGCTACAATGGAGCAAACGTTGAGCTCGAAAAAGTGTTGAGCTCGAAGCGCAGGGGCGGGATGGTTTGGATGGTGTGGGTAAGAATCAAAGACTATATTTTGAAACTTTCTGTGACCTACTCGGTAGATCTGCGTATTTCTTCTATCTGCCAATATTTGTTGATATTTGTTGCAAGACATTGGTCTTCTTTAACAACTTTAACTTGTTTGGATTTAGCAGGCCCAGGCCATCCCAGGCCTCAATTGGCCTTGGAGATCTTGGAGTAAAACTGGCGCGTTCGGATGCGCTCGGCATATTTTGTGACCTATGTCTCAGGCACAACGGCCAAAGCAGCCGAGTGTGTCACAGCCCCAGGGTAAGGTGACGTGCACTTGGCATCATCTGAAACCATACATTTTGAGAGTTGAACATTTGACGACTCGACCCAGACCCATGTTGCAACCCAAGACCCTACTATATATTTCTAATTAGCTTGGAAGACTGAAGTGCACTTGTCAAAAAGTCAGTTTGGAGTGTTGATCATTGCAGGGGGGGTTCAAACTTTGTGCTCTCTAGGGCCCGTGACGATCTGACTGAGCTTGACAGTGGCTGCCTCAATGTGTTAGGAAATGTTAGCAGATGTCCATGTGAAGTCTTACGAATTTCAAGACGGGTTTTGCCACAGGGGTCTGATATGGTTTGATTTTCACTGATTTTACTATTGCCGAACAGCTTCGCAGCCGACAACTTGCGTTGCCTGTTGCTATTTTTTTCCGAGGGCTGATGGCAGATTATGGTGAGAGTATGGAATATTTCCCTGAAGCACCGCCTCGGACTTCCTTTATTCAGGCCAGGGAAGGAAGGGGAGCTCATTTTCACAAAGGGTTTGTGGCCACTGGTGGCTATGACAGATTTTGTGACATGTGGCTCAAGAGGTGCTTCACTGAGTCTGCTAGTGGATGTGATCTATAAAAATCAAGAAATTCCCTGTAGTAGCCATAGTAGGCACGGTAGCCATATAGTATTTCGAGAAATCTTCAAAGGTAGGACATGGTAGGACAGTGTTCACCTGAGTTTCTGCTGTGGGATCTTTATGGATTTCTAGGGATATTGCCTGGCTTTGCTACCTGAAGAAACCGGGCTTGGACGTTCTGGCACCAAGGCAGTACGGCCTGTGAAACAGAAGTTCTCATGATTCTGCCTTGGTAGTTGGAACAAGCTGCCCCTTAATACGACAGTGGTACATCTATGACTTCTGTTATATGCATCCTAGACTTTGAACATTCCAAACTGTTTCAGTCGATGACTTTTTCACATTTTTTCCGACAATCCTGGAAAAATCCTTCTATCTCAATCGCTTTCAGGGGCCAAGTGGTCGTTTAGACAAAAGTGATCATTGAAACTTGAAGGCATCAAAAACTCCTCCACGAACCTAATAATGCGCCTGATATATCTGATGAATGGACAGAGTAGTGGGCCTGCGTTCAGTTGCAGGCAGCAAACCACATGTTTCAAATATTAGACACGTTTTTTGTTCCCAAGCTGGATGATCATCCGGCAACACCTGCAGATTACAGCAGGCCGAATCTGCTGAAAGTGCGCAGGCCCCCTCTGTGTCTCCTGACCAGGCGGGGAAGAGCTGGTAGTACAATCCCATCCCCCTGATCATTGCTACTTGTAGTATACTGCACAGGCTGTGTAAGATATATCTTGCTCTCGCTCTGTCTGCATTATTATATGTATATATATATATATTGAAGCCCTCATGTTTAAACTATTGGGGAAAGGGTTGAGTTGATGAGCAGTACGTCAATGCCCCTTGAATCAAGATTCTGTTGCTCATGGCTCACCAGCACATCTGCACCATCCAACATATTTGATCGACTGATGAGTTCCAGAAAGGTTTCATTGCCAGGTGCTGTCTGTCATTGCCAAATGGAGACTGTTTCAGGTAAATGCAGCAATACAATGTAATACATGGATTATATTTTATGGATTATATTGTTTTGATATGTTTTGATCTGTTTTGATTTCTAGGGACTGGCCTAGTAAGTCGGGTTTGCGACTGCAGCTGGTGTTCGAGGAAAAGCAGAGTCTACCGATCATTGCGCAGGCGAATGCCACGATTTTCCAGGCATTTTGTGGTATAAATCACTACTGATTGGTGGTTTGGAACATGGCTTTTATTTTTCCAACTGGGAATAATTCATCCCAATTGACTAATTTTTCAGAGGGGCTGAAACCACCAACCAGACTATAAACTTAAACCCATATACCGTTTGGACTTGAGTCACCCCGGCACACCAGAAAACGCGTTGGTCGCCAGAAGCGGAAGCAGCTTCGAGAAGAAACAACTCAAGAACGACAAAGAGCTAAGGATACCGACTGTCGAGCCACAGTGATATCACACAGTGTGCCACAGGGTCATGGCATTTCCAGGTACTATCTGGTTATTTAACATGGCCATGGAAAATCACCATTTTTAATAGGTAAACCATCTATAAATGGGCAATTTTCCATGGCTATGTTAAATAACCAGAGGGTAATTATTCCATGGGTTTGGTATTTCGTGGCATGACAGGCATGACATTTCATGACAACACTGCTGTATGCAGCATTGGGATGATGTTGGTTTTCTGAGACCGTCAATCCTTTTAAACATCGTGTCAAATCGTTGCTGAGCTGTGAGGTTCGATTTGGAATTGGTTGGGTGGGCTCCTCTCAATCTGTCCACAACACAACATATTCAAGTCCTTGGCTGATCCTTAAATGCAAAGCAGTTTGGAATTTGGTTATTTTGGTTCAGGACACCAAGTACAGTTTGGAAACTAAGCATTTGGCTGCATCAGGCATTTTTTTCTTTTGCCGTTCTTTGTGATATGATTGTATGCTAGCTAGGTCAGGATCGTGAATCCGCCTGGATCCGCATGGCATGGGCATGGTCTATGATTCACCAGGAGGAGGAGAGGCTGAAGAAAGAACGACAAGAACAAGAAACCATGCGCAGGCGTACATGGCTTCTTTTGCCTGCAGCAGAACACCAGAAATCATCGAAATCATTACCAAACATATACATGCACACATGTGTCTTTATCCACACAGATGCCCCCTTCTTTTGGCCAAGTGTTGGTCAATTCGCCATGCAGTGGTTGACCCTTTGATCATGCATATGGCATCACATTGCTGAGCCCAGGTACCAAGAGGAACTTTCCATGGTTGAGAACCGGGAAGTCGAGGTCTTGAGATGGGATTGATGATGGATCCATCACAAAGATCTTGGGGCTCTCAATAAGAAATACTAAGAGGGGTCTCTCCATAGGAGCGGTCAGATATGGTCAGATTTTTAATGGGAGGGGTTGGAACCCAAGGCCTTCTGAGTGTTGGGTCTTTGGTCAAACCGAAACGAGCGGTCGCAACACCTTGACGGTCTGGGAGGGTTTTGGTGTATTGCGATTTTCGTCAATTCAAGGGCAGGAGCACCCCACATTGTAAGGTTTCTTCTAAAACGCAAACCCATAATTAAAGAGAAAGCCCGTTTAACAAGAGATATTGGAGCGTGATTAAATAATGAGAGCGATAAGTATATATACTATATATATATATACAGATACAGATAAGTTTGATCAGATAAGTCTGATGTAGATGATGTAGATTGGTCTGATGGAGACGAAATATGATGGCCGGAGATAGGTTTGACATGGTTTGACAAAGGAAGTTTGACCAAAGCAAGTTGGTTGGAGATACTGTAACTTTGATGGAGGTAAATTGAAAGGAAGTAAGTTTGATAGAGGTGACTTTGCAACAAAGAATAATGGATGTAAGTTTTCTAGAGATCAGCTTGATAGAGCTCGGTAGAGATAAGTTTGGAAGTGATATTTTTTGCACAGGCAAGTTTTAGATAGAGATAAGTTCCTAGAGGTAGATGTGACTATATGTGAATGTGAAAGGGAGAAGTTTGGAACAGGTAAGTTGATAGACTCCTAGACATAGACATAAGTTTGATAGATGGAAGAGGGATACAGTAAGTTGTCTAGACATAAGTTGGACGGAGTGGTTTGATAGAGATGGACATAGGTCTGACGGAGGAGAATATGAAAACAATTTTGACAGAGATAAGTTTGATGGCGGAGACGGAGGCGACGGCAAACAAGGAGGAGGAGGAGGATTTGGCATAGCGACGAAAGCACAAGAACCTCACACACTGGCCCATTGGCTGAACATACGGAAAGAAGTTGGGAAGAATATCCAAGTGTGAATTATGATGTGTTCAATTTCTGCAGTTGGGCTAGCAACAACGCGCGCGGTTAGGATGTCATCAAGCTAAAACATGGTGAAATTATATGTAAAATTATGTTTAAACTTGACACACTCCCCCAGTTGAATTCCGAACAAAAGCTTTTGACATGGAAAGTCGCCGTAGGAAAACGGTTAAATAATCGAAAAGACTTGGGCTAGTTTCGGTGCCTCATGATCCTCATGGGCCCTTGCGAGCTCGAGCTGGGGTTTGGCTTAATGAGAGGTGTCCAGTTAACATCTGGATCCAAACAAAGCGCTCCAACATTTTGTTGGTTTACGCGAGGTTTTTTTTTAATGCCAAGATTTGGAAAACCTCATAGTCTTTGTATGAGGGAACCGGCCCTAAAGTGCCCGGGAGTATGAAAAATCGATACAGTAAACATCGCGCGTTCGATCCTGCGCTTGGGGGAAGTGTTGGCTCGTGGCCTGTGCAGACCCAACGACCGAAGCAGCCGAGTGTGCCAGGGCTGTGAGGGCCTTAACATGATGGCATGGTGCCAAAAGTTCACGTCATTGGGGTACTGAATTTCTCGTTAACGTTTTAAGCATTTGAAATGTCTTTTTTGAGCGTTAATTTAACTTGTTTTAACATATGTTGACCATTTTTGACCAAAATCCATTGACATACAACCCAAGACCCTATAGGTCGGAAGATTCTGAAGCACGCTTGCTGAACAATGAGTTTGTACTGTTGCCCTGTTCTAATGTTGCGGCATGTCTCTCCGTTCATTCGCTAAATCCACTTCAGGGCCTGTGGACTGACTGCTCTTGACAGTGGCTGCCTTAGTCGACCGATGTCCTGGTCAGGGCGTTTTGTTCACCGTCGGATTTGCCATGATGCTAGTAGTTTTCCGCAAATTTCACAACAAGAATCTATATAATCAAATCTAATTCTCACTGTCTTCAATTTAAGCATTCGCAGCTGGCCCATAAGTTGTCTTGCCCATTTGCTCCTACTGAGGGATGATGGCACAGGATGAGCAGAATGTGGAGTATTTGCCAGAAGCGCCGCCTCCGCCTCCTCCGCCTCCACCTTCCCTGGAGCAGGCCATGGTTTGTGGCTTGTGGTTGATGGATTTTGTGACACCACTGAGTCTGCTAGTAGATGCGGCCTATAAAAACCAGGAATTTTCACAACATTTCACATAGTAGCCATAATAGCCACATAGTACTTCGCGAAATCTTCCATGGTTGCACTGCGTCCATTTGCGTTCTATTGCAGGATTTTGAGAGTCACTCCCTGGATTTGTGACCACATTTTTTGCGGAAGCAGTTGGGCCTGGGTGTCCTGGATTGTCCTGGCATTTCCGAATTCCTGGCAAAAAATCGCTGGTTGGTAGGTCGCATGTATGTCATTTAATACATGGAAGGAGTAGTACCCTTGCTGCAATGTGCAGCAAGACAACTTCTGCTTTTTGTTGGAGGTTATCCAACATGGAATCCCTGCTGTGCTTGGTGTCACAATCATCAGTTTTCAAGAGCCTTTAGCTTGTTGCGGGTGTTTGCTTTTGTTTTGCGAGTTTTTGCATACATATATTTTTGCATACATACATTTATTTTGTTTAATTGTTTTTTCAATCAGAATGTCGAAGCACGCAATGCAGCTCCGAATTTCAACCTGCAAAGTAGCACGGCCGGAGCTGTGGCAATGGTTTGGTTCAATGATACGCCGAAAGTAATATCAAGATATATCAAGGAATTTTATGAACTGCAAGGCTGGCTTACTGATTTACTGAGAGTTTGGGCCCGCCTGTCCTACGCCAAGAGCAGTCATGGTGAGAAAACAATGTAGCACACTTGCGCAAATTTGAACTTAATCCAGGCATGCCCGCCTTTTTTTTGCAAGCTCCAAACATGCAGATTTGTCCCAAACACCCACTGTAGCGAGATAGGTCCCTTGATGTCCCTTGTAAAAGCGATACAGTTTTTGGACAAGCCAAATGCGAAACAACATACCTCTAACATACCTTGATGGTGGCTCATGGGATCTACATACACTTGAAGAATTCTTTGACCTACACACAGTTTTAATTTAAGAGAGTAAAAAGATGCCGGGACAAAAAGCCAATATGGAGTTGAGGACAATTCAAACAAATCCGGCGTTTTTGGCCCCCCCAAGACCATCCAGAAAAGCATTCGGATTGCACCAACAGGCGGAACCTGCTGAAAGTGCGCAGGCCCCTTCGGTGTCTCCTGAGCAGGTGGGGAAGGGCTGGTAGTACAATCCCGTCCTCAAGAGTATTACTGTACTTCTATACTGTACAGATATTATAATGGATATTCCCTACAACCGGTTGTGTATTGGATCATATTGGATCTCTCTCTCTCTCTCTCGACATATTGTATGTATGCTTTTGGAACCCGGGAAAGGATTAAGTTGATGAGAACAGATGAGAACAATATAGCAAGGCCCTTCAACAGAAGATATTGGACTTTGTCCCTCATGGTTCAGCTCCCAAAATTTGAACATCCGGATCCAACAAATCTGATCGAACTGAGCTCCCAGGAAGGCTCTATTGCACACCATCCGGGTATCTCCGCCATCGACTTTCAAATTATCGTTTGCAGAGAAATGTGCCACATCCAGACTTTGTTTGGCCTTTGACTAGACTTCTGGAGATGGCGATGGAGAGAAAGAGAGAGAGAGAGA